AAGCAGGACCTGGCTTCCTCTTGGGGCGGGGGGGGGGGGGGGGGGGGGTGTTTATTTTCTTTTCTTTCTTTTTCTTTTTGGTACCAGGGATCAAACTCGGACCTTGCGCGTGGGAGGCAGGCAGCAGAACCACTGAGCCAAATCCCTGGCCCTTTTTTTTTCTTTTCTTTTCTTCTTTTGGTCACAGGGTCTCACTATGTAGTTCAGGCTGGCCTTGAATTCACAGTGATCCTCCTGCCTCAGCCTTCCCAGTGCTGGAATTACAGATGGGCACCACCATACCCAATCATCTCTCAGGTTTGTGCTTCTCAATAGCGTGTCTCAGAATGTGTCTCCTCGTAGCATCTCTGACTCGTAATGACTCCGCATCCATATCTGTGTGGTCCTGTTTGGAATCTCTATCTCTGCCTCAACACATCTCTCTCTTTAGTGCTTCTCTCTCTCATAATCTCTATTTTTTCATCTCTTCATCTGTGTGTTCTCTCTAAATCCTTTCTTTGGGCTGGTAATGTAGCTCAGTGGTACAGACTTTGCCTAGTATGTATAAGGCCCTGGGTTCAAAATCTGGTTCTCTGTCCTTCCTGTTGTCTGTAATGTCTTTGTCCAACTGAACTGTGCTTTCCTAGAAAACACGAATCTTTTATTATTCCCCTGGGTATCCCAAGTGCTCTGCAGTGTCTGGCATATAAGAGTCCTTTATACTTAAAGGCTTTTTCTTTGGAGAAAAAGTTTCACTTTTAATCACCCTCTCTGCCCCCTTCAGAGCTGGCCGCCTGCCCAATGGCCAGCTAGAGAGCAGGTCAAAGGGGGTATGATGATTTCTACTGATGCTACTGGTCTCTTTTGACTGTTGAAATAACTCTCAGGACACACACAGAGTCACCCTCCTACTAAGGCACAGTTGCAGCAAGCCCCACCCCGACGTACGTACTGTGAGGCCGATGTCCCCGCCCAGAGGCTCCGCCTCGGCCAATCAGTGAACGCCTGTAAATAGAAGGCTGGAAAGCTCTCCAGTGGCGAGACCAACACAAGATGGCTGTGGCGTGTCGGAGCGTGAAGGTAACTTGTTTTTTTTTGCCTTTATGCTCTCTGCTCTTTTCCTGGCTGTGCTGCCTGGGACAGCACGGTTGGAAACTAGAGGGGAGATTGGTGCTGTCTGATACTGCGGCGTTTGGGCTCAGTAGGGGAAAGTCAACACTGTTGCTTGTGAATGTGAGTCTCAGAATGGACTGTCTGGGAACGAGACCCCAGAGGTCTCATGTGTGAGGAGAGGAAGGACATCTGATTCGACCCCCACCTTCCTGGCAGAAGTATGAAGAATGGGCAGGTGAAAGGGTGGGGTGGCCTGGCTGTGTAGCAGCTGACCTTTTGTCCCTTTTCACAGGGCCTTGTTGCAGTAATTACCGGAGGAGCCTCAGGCCTTGGCCTGGGCACAGCTAAGCGACTGGTGGAGCAAGGAGCCATTGCTGTGCTTCTGGACTTGCCCAACTCTGATGGAGAAGCCCAGGCCAAGAAGTTAGGAAAGAGCTGTGTGTTTGCCCCAGTTGATGTAAGTGGACTCCGTTCTCCTCTCCGAGGGTGTACATCAGGTCATCAACACTTACGTGGGAACCCATGGGGATCCCTCCCGTGAGTGTCATCTATAGGGGCCGTGAATCTGTCTCCTTGTCCCTTTGGGCCTAAGCCTTCAAGCACTGTGGGAGCATCTGCAGTAAGGACTCTCTAAAGCTGGGATTCATTCACCACAACAGAGAATGGGATTAGACATATCAGAATCTCCTGGAGGGGGTATCCACAGTTTGAAAACTTGTTTTCATGAAATAAACTATGAAAAATAAAACGTGATGAAATCATCTAGCAGGTAGGGATACAAAAAAGCTAGCTGACATTCACAGCAATTGAAAATCACCAGGGGTATGTGAATTTATCACAAGAAGGTATAGCTTTGAAAAATGTTTTGCAAGACTGCCTGTAGTACCTATGATTTTCACCTTCACCCCATTCTCCTCCAGTTTTACCACCACCTTTTCTCTTGGCTTTTCTTTCCCACCCAAGAACTGGGCCTGACAGCAACCCCGCCCCGGTTTTAGTGGTAAGTGTGCTGGGAAATGAATACCTTTTCCCATTTTTCCCTTTGAAGGTGACCTCTGAGAAGGACGTGCAGACAGCCTTGACTCTGGCAAAGGAGAATTTTGGCCATGTGGATGTGGCTGTCAACTGTGCAGGTATTGCAGTGGCCAATAAGACATACAACTTAAAGAAGCAGCAGCCCCACAGCTTGGAGGATTTCCAGCGAATTCTCAATGTAAGATCTTGGAGATTCTCCAGGAGGGGAAGGAATAAGAGGTATCTGGTAATGGGTACCTCCAAAGCTTTAAGGAACAAGCCTCTGCTTTAGCTCCTACACCATGTCTTTACTTATCCTCCAGGTGAATCTCTTAGGCACCTTCAATGTGATCCGCCTGGTTGCTGGTGAGATGAGCCGGAATGAACCAGACCAGGGAGGCCAACGTGGGGTTATTATCAACACTGCCAGTGTGGCTGCCTTTGAGGGCCAGGTTTGTGGGCAGGGGCAAGGCTATGCTTCCTCAGTTACTTGTTGGGGCCCTCCCACCTATGACCTCCACTCCATCTCTAGGTTGGACAAGCTGCATACTCTGCATCCAAGGGAGGCATAGTGAGCATGACATTGCCCATTGCTCGAGATCTGGCTCCCATGGGCATCCGGGTGATGACCATTGCTCCAGGTAGACATATCCCCTCTCCCTGCCACACCTGGGATTGGGTAGAATCTGTGGGCAGTTGAGAGGGGAAAGTAAGTATCTACCACCTAAGCAATAGCAGCCTTCTAACTTTGGACCCCAGGGAAACAACGAGAAGTAGAGCTAAGGTGAGGAAAAACCATGTAAATATGAAATTAAGGGTGAGTCTCACTCTGGTTATCTTATTTAGGCCTGTTTGACACCCCACTGCTGACCAGCCTCCCAGAAAAGGTACGCAACTTCTTGGCCAGCCAGGTACCCTTCCCCACCCGAATTGGAGACCCTGCTGAGTATGCTCATCTGGTACAGACCATAATCGAGAACCCATTCCTCAATGGAGAGGTCATCCGGCTGGATGGGGCCATCCGCATGCAGCCTTGAAGGGAAAACACAAGCTTTTGTGCCTTACCTTCCCCTGAGGAAGCCCAATAGCCATTTTGTAACTACCTACCAATTGCCTCTGTGACTGTTTAATAAAGTATCTCTCACAGGATATGGGCAGTGCTGTGTACTGGGGGAGCTGGCATGGAGAAGAAAAGTGAAGGCTCCAACAGTGTTAGATGCCCAAAGCCTCAGGGTAGTTTGGGAAAGGCAGTACCGTCACGCTTTTGTGTCCTGTTACACACATGGCTTTGACTTTAGTGAATAACTTTATTGCCTTGGATAGAAGATAGGGGTATTGGCTTAACACTCTCCCACTAGGGAATGGATTCAAGGTGGGGGTATGCAGTATTTTTCTCTTTGACTCCTAACCATCTGTGAGCTTAATAGGAAAGAAGGGAGATGTGATCATCCTGAGTTCAGCAGCTGCTGGTGTTGAACTGTAGATAATATTGGGCTGTAGGTTGATTGGTGTAAATTATTGAATTCAGATAATTTTGCCTGTGAAGAGAAATCCAGAAACCTCAGATGATGTGCTTTTCCTTCTCCCCCTGGTCCTTGCCATCCCTCCCTTCTGTCCCTGGTTCATCACCATCCCTTAGCACCCTCCCTTGGCCTTCATCCCCACTGCCACCCCCTAGAACTCACTGGGCCTTTTGATCCTTGGCCGGCTGCTGGCTGAAGGAGCTGAAATTTCAGAGCCCTCTCTGAAATTCAGCACACAGTTCCCTCTCCTGCTCCTCTAGCTCCAGCGCTGCTTGGGCCAAGCATATAGTTTGGCTTGCCCATTCAGTACCCAGTGCTTGTTCAGACTGGCGCTGTGCCTTCTTCTCATGGCATTGTGCTTCCTGGGCTTTCCTGATGTCAGCTTGCTGCTGTGGAGTCATACCCTTCCAGCAATAGGGCAGGACTGGGTGGGGAGCCATGGGGTGTTGAGCAACCTGGGGGTTCTCAGTCAGGAGGTTACTGGTGGTCTGCTTCTGTATGTCTGAGAGGTTGGCTTCCTGTTGGCGCTGATGTTCATGGCGCTGCTGCTCAGCCAGCTTAGCTGCCTGGTGGGATCCCCAAATGTATGTTTTTGAGTGCTTAACCTCAGGGACCTCTTAGTCACAGGGGTGGGAAAAACATGGCCCCACTACATCTCGGAGAGAAGGAAGAGATAGTGCATGACCTTTTAATGACCCCAAGGGCAGGGAACTCCTCTGCATTCAGGAGAGCCTTAGACCAAGAGGCTAGGGATGAAAGGGTAATGTTCTGTTCTCTCTTTTTATAGATTTATTTTTGGTACTAGGGATCAAACTCAGGACCTTGTGCTTTCTAGGCAGGCGCGGTGCCACTGAGCTAAATCCCAGCCCAGTAATGCTCTGTTCATAAGTCATCCTGTGTCTGGAGGTAGAGAGAAGCAATTTGTGCCCTAAGAAGGACCTTAGGTGGATGAGGAAGATGTGGCCAAGGTTCCTCAGGACTTTTTTCAGGAATCTGGGGAGGGCCCACTACACTGGATGGGTCAGGCCATACCTGGACTTTGTTGGCATTGGCTCTGGCAGACGACATGGCAACACAACAAGACTCTTCCAGCCTGGCCATCTGGGCAGCCCTCATGTCCATGACTAGGTGCTGCTGGTCACTAAGCATATCTGCACAGAGAAATATGGTTGGGTTACCATACTGGCTTGCTGCAAACCTGGTTCACTTATTCAGCCATTTATTCAACCAACTTTGTGTATGTGTATGTATGTTGGGGAAGGGGGCCAGTATCCAAGTTGTAGGGATGTAGAAGGAGCTATCCTTTGGGGCTAGAGATAGCCAAAGTACAGCAGCATCCTGGGTTGCAGTGCAGTTCTGCTACCTCTGAGTGTGGCCTTGAGTAAGTCATTTCATCTCTCTGAACCTCAGTCTAAGGGCCATGTGTTGGGTTTCAAGGACACCATGGAATTAGGTCCTGTCCTCAGAAGAACTCCCTATCTAGTAGGGGAGATGGATCAAAGAGATGATCAGACCATAATCTGGTAAGGACAATGGCATAGGTGTATACAGGGCATGAAGATTTTAGGGGGTGACGTTGCAACTCAGTGGTAGAGCACATAATTAACATGTGTGAAGCCCCAGGTTCAATCCCCAGCATCAAAATGGAATAAAATCTTCGCCCTTTGCCCCCTCAGAGCAGTTAGGGGTACTTCTTCAGAGGGGGTAATATTGTAGATAGGTAAGTTAATTAGATATCTTGTAGGCAGTTAGACAGGGCCGGCCCACAAGGAGCCAACATGGAGGACAGTGAAACTAAGACCAGCAATGTAAAAGAAACTACCACACCCATGTAGGATGAATAAGCAGTAATTGATATTCTAAATAGGTATCAATCACCTGGGTAGGGGGGCCAAGGGCTTTACCCAGCCTTTCCAGGAAATCCCTGATCCACCCTTACTGAAAATCCTTGTATGCTTGCTGCATGATTTGCTCCCCTATTTGACCCTCATTAAATCAATATTACCTGGGTGACTGTACTTGTAATCTTATTGGTTGGTCATGGTTTTGTCCCACCTCATGCTCACCTTGTAAATTTCCATTGGGTCTTACAGTTTTGTCCCACTTTGTACCCACCTCATCACATGGCTTTGCTGTATAAAACATCTTTGAAAAGTGGGGTGGGCACCAACCCACTTTCCGGTCCCCCTTCTGTCTCTCTCAGACAGAAGCTTTCTTTCTTTCAAATTTTTCCTACTCTTAAAAAAAAACAACAACAAAAAACATGAAGGCTTTGGGTTCTGAGAAGGGTTCTAGGAGGAGGTGATCTTTGAAGTATACTTTGTATACAGGCAAAAAGAGCAAACAGTATTTGAGGCTGAGGGAACAGCACAAGCAAAAGTACTGACATTTTTTTCCACTCTAGCCACACATTGATCTTGTTGTCCTAGGACCTGTTAGACATTGTGGTGATCTGAAAGGAGAATAGTGCAAGTAGATAAGACATGGTCCTGGCCCTAGAATGGCTTCCTCTAATGGAAGAGAAAGATTTGGCCACAGATAATATCATAAAAATAGCTACTCTATGTGATAAGGATTAGTACTCCTATTTTAAAGATGAAGAAACTTGGGGGGTATAGCTCAGGGATAAAATGTGTGCTTAGCAGCCTAAGAGCAACTTAGCCACTTGGGAGACCCTGTCTCAAAAGTAGGGGGGTACTGAGGCTGTAGCTCCATTTGAAGGCCCTGTGTTCACTCTCCAGTTCGGTTAAAAAAAAAAGTATACTTAGCATGCATGAGGCCCTGGGTTTGACCAATTAGTTTATTTTTTTTTAATTTTATTTTTTTTGAGACAAGGTCTCGCTATATAGTTCATTTCAGACTGGTCTTGAACTCACTATGTAGTCCAGGCTGGCCTCGAACTTGAGGTGATCCTCTTGCCTCAGCTTCCCAAGTGCTGGGGTTACAGACATGTGCCACCAAGCCCAGGCAATTAATTAATTTTTTAAAAAAGGTAAGCTGCCACCTCATCTTTCACAAAGGAGCCAACCACCCTCATTGGGGGAAAGATAGCCTATTTAATAAATGGTGTTGGAAAAACTGGATTTCAACCTGCCAAAGATTAAAACTAGACCCATACCTATCACCATGCACTAAACTAAGATCAAAGTGGATTAAAGGTCTAAATATTAAGACAGAAACACTAAACTTGCTGGAAGATAAGTTAGGTAGAACTCTTGAAGACATTGGCATAGGAAAAGACTTTATGAACAAAACCTCACTAGCACGGGAACTAGCACAAAGAATCAACAACTGGGATCTCATCTTATTAAAAAGCTTCTAGGGCTGGGGGTTTAGCTCAGTGGTTTCGCTGCCTGCAGCACAAGCGCAAGGACCCAAGTTCGATCCCTGGTACCAAAAAAACAAAACAAAAAAAAAGCTGCACTGCAAGAGAAACCACCAACAGAGCTAACAAACAACCTACAATGTGGGAAAAATTTTTAGCAGCTGTACCTCAGACAAAGGACTACTATCTAGAATATATAAAGAACTGAAAACCGACCTCCCAAATTCACAGACCCAATTCAAAAATGGGCAGCTGAAATGAACAAACATTTCTCAAAGAAGTAAAAGCAGCAAATAAATACATGAAAAAATGTTCAACATCACTGGTCATTTGAGAGATGCAGATGAAAACAACACTGAGATTCCACCTCACCCCAGAAAGAATGGCTGCTATCAAGCAATCAACCAATAACATGCTGGCGGGGGTGTGGGGAGAAAGGAACCCTTCTCCATTGTTGGTGGGAGTGTAGACTAGTGCAACCGCTGTGGAAGTCAGTATGGAGATACCTCAAAGAACTGGGGCTAGAGGTCCCATTTGACCCAGCTATTCCCCTGCTGGGTATCTTCCCCAAAGAATTAAAAGAATCCTACCACAGTGATATAGGTGCACCCATGTTCATAGCGGCACAGTTTGTAATAGCTAAAGCTTGGAAGCAGCCCAAGTGCCCATCAACTGGAAACTGGATAAAGAAGATGTGGGATTTTTTAAAAAATAAAATGGAGTACTACTCAGCCATAAAGAATGAGAAACTAGAGTCATTTATAGCTAAATGGGTACATAGAGGCCATACTCTTAAGTGAAATAAATAGGACACACATGTGTAAATAGCGAATAGTTTCTCTGGTGTGAGAAACTGAAAGTGAAATAAGGATTAAAACGAATAAAATGAATAACTGACAATTTGAAATAGGAAAAGGTCCAAAGGGGTAGGGGTGGCAGGAGGAGAAGGGGAAAGGAAAGAAGGGAAAGGAAAAATTATGAGAAAAGAGAAAAAATGGAAACGAAATCTATGTAAATAGGGAAGGGTGGAGGGGGTGAAGGGCGCACAGGTAATGGGGAAAATATGAGAACCAAGATACATCATGTACAGGTACAAGCACCCAGTGATAAACATAAATGTATACCTAAAATGTACCAATAAAAGAATTTTTAAAAAATTCAGCCCCTCAGCCTTGCACCTCCAGAACCTTGAGCCAAAATGAACCTCTTTTCCCTATAAAGTTAAAAAAATAAAAGGTAAGCTGATGGACTGAGGATTTAGCTCAGTGGTTCTGCTGCCTGCCTCGCAAGTGCAAGGACCCGAGTTTGATCCCCGGTACCAAAAAAAAAAAGTGTGTGTCCAATTTATTTCACTTAAGAGTATGGCCTCAAGGTCCATCTCAGCTTACCTTTTTTTTTTTTTTGTACCAGGGATCGAACTTGGGTCCTTGCGCTTGCGAGGGAGGCAGGCGGCAGAACCACTGAGCTAGATCCCTGGCCCCTGGACACACATGGTTAAATACTGCATTGTTTCTCTGTTGTGAGAAACTGAAAGTGAAAATAAGGACTGAAATGTACAATGGATGATGGAAAATGGGAAGTGTTCAAATGGGAAGGGGAACAAGGGAGGAGGGAAGGAGAAAGGAATGAAGGGACAAGAAAAAAAGTAAAATAGGAAAAAATGGAAACAAAGCTTTTGTATATAGGGAGGGGAGGGGCTTGAGGGATGGAATGGGATAAAATAAAATTTATTTTAACAAAAAAGGAAAGCTGAGCAAAGTGGTACATGCCTGTAATCCTAGCACTCAGGAGGCTGAGGCAGGATAATGGCCGTGAGTTCGAGGCCAGCCTGAACTACATAGTGAGACCCAGTCTCAAGATAAATAAATGAATAAAATAGAGGAAGAAATAGAGGAAGAACATCCATTTGTCCAAATCAGCTAGTAAGTGGCAGAGCTGTCAGGTGTGCGTGTGCGTGTGCGTGTGTGTGTGTGTGTGTACCATGCTTCCCCTGGGTAATGGCTGGTCACGAACAACAGCTACTTCAGTTACTGAAGGAAGTCAGGGAGGTTGAGCCTGCAGTCTTAACATTTCATGGATATCAACTTCCTCACACTGTTCAGACCTACCAGGTGGTGTACCCAGCTCAGGAGTTTACTGCTAGGCCTCGGTCTCTAAATTGGAAGGGCCAGCCTGCTTACCTGCATATTTTTCTTCAGCCCTGACTTGCTGTTGTTCCTGCAGCTGCCTTTCCAGGTTATACCTGAACTGCTGCTGTTGCATTCTCAGGAATGAGGCCCTATGCAGGCCCTCCCCCAAGAAGCACTGCATGCTGGCTGGGCCACTGAAGGGAACTTTGTCACTGAGACAGGCTGGAAACTCCTGGAATTGAGTTGGAAATTCCTGGAATTGGGCTGGATACTGCTGGAACTGGACTGGAATCCTTTGGAATCGGGCTGCATCCTGAAGTTCACATTCACATCTGTTCTTGAATTCCTGCTTCTGCTGTCGAAAATCCTGGATTTTCTTGGCCACACGACGTGCTCGTTTTGCCTCCTCCTTTTCTAGCATCTGGACTACCAGATCATACTGCACTTTCTTGGTATCTGGGGTGATGAGCAGGGACATAGAGAAGACACCACAGGAAGGAGAGAGCCCAGTTTGCATGGCCTGTGTTCCCAAGGGCCATCTAGTTTGACTCACCATCCCAGGGCCCCAGCCCCCACTCCAAGACAGAATCGCCCTACTTCAGCCCACTCAGCCTGTTGCTTTACTCCCTTGTCTGGTCTGTCCCTGGCCTTGGGCAATTACCATAAGCTGCCTCCTTATTTCGTTCTGTTGCCTCCTGAAGCTTTTGCTCTTCCACTTGGTTGTTCAGGGCTTCCACATTCACCTGGGTCCCAAAGAAAGGAGCTAAATCAGGGTAGGAGCCCAGCAGGGGGCCATGAGTACTCTACTATAAACTTCTTAGAACTTAACTTGCTTCAAAATCCTCCTACACCTCTCTAGAACTTACTGGATAAAATTCCAGCCTCTCAGTATGACTCATAAACACCTCCTTGATGTAGCCTCTACCTCCTCCAGCCTCATCTCTGTACTCTCTTCTCTTGGCCCCCTTCATAACTGGCCTTAGGAGCTGTTCTTCCATTTCCCAGCATACCTTAGGCCATTTGGAACCCATCACCTTTGCTCAAACTACTCCCGCCTCTTGGAACATTCTTTTCCTTCCCCTCTTTACCCAAACTCCAATTTGCCCTTCAAGACCAGCTCAGGCTTTGCCTTCCTGACCCTTCAAACAGGTTCTATTCCCTATCTAGGTCCCACTGTCCACATTATAATGAAGTTTACCTGTCTCTATTATTTTCTCCACCAGGCTGTAGCACTTTCAGGGCAGAGACTGGGCTTTAGTTATTTTTGTATCTCCAGTACACACCAGAGTGCTTGGCACAGAGCAGGCCTCAAGGAAATGCTTGCCACCTGTATGTGTCTCCCTCAGACAACTCAAACTTCAGCCAGCTACTTCCTTGTGTCAAGCACTATGCTTTGGTTTTCAGAGTTGCACCTCCGTGCTTCTATTTAGTCTCATTTTACAGAGGAGGAGCCTGGAGCTCAGGAGAAAGATGATTTATTTAGAACTACATATCTGACAGCATATATGGCCTTGAACAGAGGTATGGTGCCTTTTCCAGAACACCATGCTGCATCCCTCCCTCTAACCACTCACTCAGCAATCCTTTATTTCTTAAGCTATCAACATTTTCTCTTTAGTTTAATTATAAAACATTTCAAAAGAGAATAAAAGGGGACTCTGTGTAGTGAAGAGTAAGTTTCCCTTCACCCTTCAGTCTGTATCCCTTTGGCCTGCTTAACAGCACCTTATTTAGCCTTGGAGATACAGTGTAGGCATATGTAATATGTAATAGCAAATAATGTTTAGCTCTATTTAAAAACAATTTTTTGGCAGTACTGAGGATCCCCAGCCTTTTTCTTTTTCTTTTTTGAGACAGGGTCTCACTAAGTCATACAAGTTGGACTCAAACTTGCACTGGCCCTGCCTCAGCTTTCCAGAATGCTGCAATTACAGGCATGGACCAACAAATACTGGTTCTTAGGCTTTTTTTTTTGGCTCCATGTTGCCTGTCTCTAGAGAATAAGACCACATGGCCCAGAGCTAACCAGAGGAGCCAGTTGTCACCCCTAATCTCTTCCCTGGATCTTCTCGCCCCTCGTCCCAAACCCTTCCTTGGCCTGTAGGGGTACGTGGCTCCCTCTTCCATTCCAGCCCTATTACCTGCTTGATTTGGGGAAGGGCCTTAATGAGCACTGTTGTGTTCCTTTCCAGACATAACAGGGAGGTGGTCCCAGTCCTGTGAAACAGACCCACTGCCCACTCACCCCCATGACTTGGTTTTGCACATTGAAGAATCGGCTCTGTCGATCTTTTTCTCGATTTCTTCTAGCCTCAATAGCTGCCACCTCCTTGGCATCTGGTGATAGGTCTACCCTATACATCTGGAGCAAGAGGGAGGTGGAATGACCCATCAGTGCTGACCATGGTTCCTGACTACATCTCACCTACATTCCTTTCTCCCTACAATATCTTCTTTGTTACTGATTGTGACTCATTTTACTTCCTGATATATTTATATCTGTGTCCTCCATCTCTGCTGTCACCACCCTAATTCAGGCCTCACAGTCTGATGTCAGGCAATATTCCCAGGAGCCTTGCTGGCTCCCTTGCCCCAATGCTATCCTCTCTGCCCTGGCTACCACAGTAATGTCTCTTAAAGCACATCTGATCACACCACTCCTTAGTTTAAAACCTTTTGAAAGCTTTAAAACAAATGGCTGCCCAGTGCTTACAAGATAAGGTCCAATCCCCTTTGCTAGATTTATAATGTTCTTGATCTGGTTCCTGCTTACCTTTCTAAGCTTCAAAAGTACTGAAAATATGTACCCTTTTTTAACTCAGTTTTCCTGGTTTAAGTAACACCACCATTCACCAAGTTGCTCAGGCCTAAAACTCATGAGGCATCTTTTAACCCTTCCTTTCCCTCATTCTTTCTTCTCTCAAAATGGTCCCTGTCACAGCCACTATCACCTTCCTGAATGACTGCAGTGGTCTCCACATTGATCTTCCAGCTTCCTCTGTTTTCTATAGCCCACCTATTGCAGGGGACCGCAATATTGATTATGCCCAAAGCAGGCTGTAAGCAGTGCAGACTGTAAAGAGGTAACCCCATAATTGGCTTGTTTCGAGAAGTGAGTTCTGCTGAAGCCTATGTGCCAAGGTCAGAGTAACTCGCACTCAAATTCCATTCCCACAATTAAAACCTAACTAGAAGGACAGTGTCCTAATTACAGCCATATATTTTGTCTATTCTGTTCCTAATTCCAGAATGTTTTGTCTTGTCCTTCACGAGCCTTGAGCCTTAATTTCCATAGAAAGTGCAGGATTGCTCATCCTCCCATGTAGTCCTGCCCTTGCACGTAGCTCACCTTTACCCCAATTGATTACCAATAAAAATCAGTGTCTTGGACTGGCCAGTGCCTTTGTTGGTGGTGGCCGTCCTGGCACCCTGCTTTTTTTCTCTCTTAGTTCTATCTTTTAGGGGTTTTTTTTCCCCCCTCGGACCTGTGACATACACTGGGCAAGACACTGGAGCCTACTGCAAAGGTTTCCAGTAACATTTCAGGGGTCCCCAGTAACTCATCACACAACAAACAAAAGCAGCTTTCTTTTCTGAAATAAAATTTCCCCCTTGCTTTTATTACTTATATTCTAGCCAGATGAAAGGCTAAAGGGCTTAAATTTGCCTATGTTCATATTTTGGGAAACTCACTTTTGGCATGCACAGCCAAAGCTACAGCAGGAAAACTTTGCAAACATTGAGCCAGAAGTCATTGTACATGTGTGAAATCCCAGCATTCAAGAGGCTGAAGCAGGAGGATCACTAAATTCGAGGCCAGCTTGGGCTACATAGTCCAAGGCAAGCCTGAACTAAGCAAGACCCTACCTTAAAAAAAAAAGCAAAAAACTTTACAAACATAAATCTGATTATGTCTCTCATCTGCTTAAAATCTTTCACTGGCATCCTACTGCACTGAGAATCAGATCCAAACTCCTTATCACAGGCTTTCAAGATTTGGTCCTTGCACACCTCTCCAGTTTGTCACATACCCACTGTCTCCCTGTGCCCCAGGCACACTGGCCTTCCATCAAGTACTCCAACACAATTGTTCCTACCTCAGGGCCTTTGTATGTGTTGTTCCTTTGTTTAGAACATCATTCCTCAACTCCTATAGCTACTTTTAAAAAACCATTTTTTGGGCTGGGGATTTAGCTCAGTGGTGCAGCCACCTGCCTCCCAAGCAGAAGGTCCCGAGTTCAAGCCCTGGTACCAAAAAAACTCCCCCCAAAATGAAAACCATTTTGTAACTGTAAAATAGTTGATACAAGCCAGGTGTGGTGGAATACTCTTATAATCCCAGCACTTGGGAGGCTGAGGAAGGAGAATGACTGAGAGTTTGAGGCCAGCCTGAACAACAGCGAGACCCTGTCTCAAAAAACAAAATTAGTTGATACATACAGGAAAATATATACAGCCCATATGTAAATTTGGAAGCATGATAAAATAGAAACCCATGAACCAACTATCCAACTTAAGAAACAGAACATTATGGATACCATTAAAGTGTCCTGTCTTTTCTGCCTCCTTACTCCAAGAGTAACCCTCACACTATTCAAAATCTGTACTGTTCCCTCTGTAATATGTATTAATATACTTTAAATGTATATGAATCCTTGAGCAACATTTTAAAAACTTATTGTTTTTGACCTTTCTAAATTATCTGGCTATATTCAGTATATTGCTTTTACCACCCTGTGTTTATTCCATCATTTAACAAACATTTGTAGAGTGCCTACTAGTGGCAAGAAAAAAAACTGACAAAAATCTGAGTGTGGAGGCTATTTTTTAGTGGAGGTGGACAGATAATAAAGAGTTAAAACATAAAATGTACATTGAATAGTTTGTATGAAGATATACTGGAAAAGCATTGAGCAGGATAAGGGAAATTGGGAAATATCAAGGAAATGAAGTTTTGCAATTTTAAATATGGAGGTCAGGGGAGGCAAAAAAGAATGTTCTGAAAAAGAAACATTTGAGCAATACTTGAAGGAGGTAAGGGTATATTGCCCATGCACCTGGGAAGACAGAGCCTCCCAGGAAGAGGGAACAGCAAGCACAAAGGCTTTAAGGTGCAAGCATGAGACAGACAAGGGAACAGCAAGGAGGCAAGTGTGGCTGGAGAAAGTAAGTGGGTGAAGAAGTAGATAGTAAATGGAATTAGAGAACATGGGGCATATCGTGCTATGATTTGTGGGCCATTGCAAAGGCTTTGGCTTTAACTCTGTGAGAAATGGGCAGCTACTGGAGGTTTTTGAGCAGTGGAGTGTAATGTTTTGACTTTGATTTTTAAAGGATCACTGTGGTTGCTGTGTTATGCACAGACTGGGGGAAAGGGGAAGCAAGGCTAGAAGTAGATCACTTGAGGCCTATGCAATTGTCCAGGCAAGAGATCATGGTGACTCACAATGGTTTAGCAGCAGCAGAGGTCTTGAGAAGTGGTCAGATTTATTTATTTTGAAGACAGGGATGACTAGACTTCCCACTTTCTGATAAATTGGGTGTGCAGTGTGAGAGGGATCAAGAATAACCTCAAGGATTTGGGCCTGAGCAATCGGAGCAACTGAACAGTCTTTGTGGAGTGAACAAGTAGGTGGTTGATCAGAGCATCAGTTTTATTTATTTATTTTTTTGACAGGGTCTCCCTTTGTAGGTCAGGCTGGCCTTCAACTCACTATGTAGGCCAGACAGGCCTCAAATTCAGCTATGCTCCTGCCTCAGCCTCCTGAGTGCTGGGATTACAGGCGTGCACCACCACACCAGAGCATCAGTTTTGGATATGTAGAGTTTGAGAGTTTGTGTGCATTGATAGCATATAGATGGTACAGGGTTTTTTTTGTTTTTTTGGTACTGGGGATCGAACTCAGGATCTTGCCCTTTTGAGGCAGGTGGCAGAACCACTGAGCTAAATCCCTGGCCCAAACACAAACAAATTTAAAGCTATGAAACTATATGAGGTCTCTAAAGTAGCAAATGTAGGTAAATAAGAATGTCCACAGGGAGATGTCCAAGGATAGAAGCGGCCCTATTATGACTGTTTCTCCCAATTGTACTTCATTTATGGCTCCCCTACTAGATTCTATCACCCAAGATTTCTCACTTTCCTGGACTTGTCCTAAGTCTTTAGGACTCTTACTAGTCTTCAGCAATCTTTTAAAAACTAGTTACAGAAATGGATACAACTGCCAGATCCTTTCCATATCTAAGTTGAGGATGGCACCAACGCCATCCTACCAGTTCCATCTGCCACCATGATACAAGGTCACTAAAAAGGAAGATTCAATAGACATTTTAAGCTTCTTGGACTGCTAGGGCCATGACCTTGGTAATGAGTAGGTATGAGGTGATAAGGGGATGAAAGGATGGAGAAGAGAGATTGAAAAATGTGGAACTGAGTAGAGAAGGACAGGAATGCAGAGGAGGAAGACGGAGAACAAGGATTAGGGAGGTGGAGGGCAGAGAACAGAGAGGGAAGAGGAAGGCGGAAAAAAAGAAGGAAGGTGGCAGAGGGGTATGCGACAGTGGGAAAGGGATGGGGAAGAAGTGTGAAGGGATAATTGGAGGGGGAGGAGGGTAAGACGGTTGGAGGTGGAGAGCACTGGCTTAGGGATCCCCACTCCCGAAGGTTCACCCAAAATACCTTTTTCAATGAGGAATGCCGATTTTGAAGCTCCTAGATTAGGTATGGGTCCAAGTTTGTTCTTGGGTTACCGCGGCAGTCTCTTAGCCCTGCTTGGAGGTATAGGAGGGAGGCAAGGGCTAGGAGCCATCTCAAGCCGTAGCCTCCCCCAGGTTGCTTGCCCGCTGCCCAGGAGTATCACTGCCCCGCCCTCACACCCTATCCTGCCTCCAATCTCACTTTTACCATCAGCAAGTCTGAGTTCACCTAACAGTGAATCTTCCCACTGGCCCTTTCCTTTCCGTTCAGCCCTCCATTTCCAAGAGTCTTTCCAATTTCTAACTCTGCCCTTGTCCGAGTCTTAAGGCTGACTAGACTAAATAAAACCACAGCAGGGTTCCCACCTTTCACTTGCCTTGGGGGGACATAACCTTGACTTCTGACTTGTCTCAGCAAGCGTGGGCTCAGGTCCGCCTGCCTTCTGGATCTCCAAAGCCGCTCTCAGTCCTCTGGCTCCAACTCCTTTACAACTCAGTCCGAGATTGCTGCAGAGTGTTGCTGTACAACACAAAGGGGGGTGCTGGCTAAACGCAAGTCTCACGCTTGCGCCCTGGCAACGGATCAACAAAACTCCCTACGTCAAAAGTCCCCGCCTTTGGTTCCTCCTCGCGCCAGAAGCAGAAAATCCCGCTTGGCATGGGCTTATTGTCGCGAGTTTTACCCTCTTCCCGGCCTGCACTGCGGCGCTTCCCGCGCGGGCTACCCCAGTTCCCGGGCGTGCGGCGGGGCCTTTCCCACTGCCGCTGTCGCCGCCGTCATGGGTTTCCTGAAATTGATTGAGATCGAGAACTTTAAATCATACAAGGGTCGACAGATTATCGGACCGTTTCAGAGGTTCACCGCCATCATTGGACCCAATGGCTCTGGTGAGATAAACCCGGCTACGGCCCTGCCCACGTCCTGGCCTGGATCCCCCTCTCCGGCTCCAGAGTAGAACAACACAGCCCCTGCAACCTGAAACCTTGTGAACCCTAAAAGATTCCTAGCTTCTTCTGAGGGGGTCCGACTCGAGCCCGCTCTCCGCTCTCGGGTCCTTTGTAGCTTCTTCCCCAGGAATCAGTTCCCCGAGTTTTTTACGACCCCCGCTCCTGCCGGAGTGGTACTGGCCAAACTGTATGATGCCCCGCCCTTTGCCCCGTCCCGCCAAAAGAGGCGCGTCCAGAGCCTACGCCAGGCGCGCGCTTCGCCGCGTCTGGCTGGTTCCAGCTTCCCAGCCTTGTTTGATCCATCTGGAAAATGTGGCACAGCTGGGAGCTTTGCCGAGGCCTGCGATCCCCAAACCGTTCACTCCAGCTTTACCCCCGGTCCCCCTGCCCCCTAGCATTGGTAGACTCCAATTCGTTCCTTTTTGCTCACTTTTCCCGCAGCGGCACTTTTAAATTTGAGACCCAGCGCTTGAACGCTTGGTATCTGGGTCTTTCATTTCTCAGGTAATATTGCCTCGGACTCGCTCCTTTCCTACCATGGAAACTGTCAAAAGTCTGAATTCATTAGCCTTCCAAATTTAAAAAGTTTTTTTTTCCTTTTTTGGTACCGGGGATCGAACCTCGGGACCTTGCGCTTGCGAGGCAGGCACCGGAACCACTGAGCTAAATCCCCGGCCCTTACATGTTTTTAATTAATGTTCGTCAGGAGTTGTTCAAGTTGTGGAATAGCAGAGAATTGAATACACTAAATGCATGTTCTCATAGAAATTATATTCTAGAGGAGAAAGAAGATGAAGGAAAAAATAAGATAATTTTAGGCTATGCAGGAAATGGGACAGGTTAGTGTGAGAGTTACTTGGGTGGTCACTTTCCAGGTGATGTCTATTTCATATCTTAGTTCCTCATTTACATACGGTACTCTGGATTCTCTTATGTGCGCCCCGGAAGTGGTTCATTGGGAATCCTGCTGTGATCTCCACTCCAGAGATTTTCTAGCCTGAGAGTCTACCCTTGCTGTGAAGTAACTCATACTGAACACCCTCCTTGGAATCTTGCCTGAATTTGGATCTCTGTTTAGAGCACGGGTTCTTAACGTTGGCATGCCAGCGAGATAATTCTTTGTTGTAGGGCTGGTCCTGTACATAGTATGTTTTGCAGTATTCCTGGCTTTTACCCTTAGATGATAGCACCCCCACTTCCCAGGTGTGACACAAAAATGTCTGTGTACAGGGCCGGGGATTTAACTCAGTGGTACCACCCCTGCCTCGAAAGTGCAAGGTCCTGTGAGTTCGGTCCCCGGTACCGAGGAAAAATGTCTGTGTACATTGCCTGTTGTAGGGGGACAGAGCACAAAATTACTTCTCCCAGGTCGTTTGAGAACCGTTGGCCTAGAGGGTTAATGCATGGAAATGCACCTAGTTTCTTAGGGTTTTGGTGTTGTGGCCCTGTGGAAAAAGCCAGGATGCACTTGGCATTCAGTCCCCTCAGCATTGGTAAATTTGTATACTGTTCTAAAAACGTCCTTGTTTGGACTACCTCCTGCCTCATTCTTCAAGTCCACCTCTACAAGGTATTATTCCTTGATTCCTTCTCTGTTGCTCTTCCTGTCTGGCACACAGTAGACACTTTGTACACATTAATGTTTATTTTCTTCTGTCTTGTATTTCTTTTGTATGGGTTTGTGTCTTCATAACTAGTCTGTGAGTGCTCTCAAGACATCCCTTGAAACATTTTATTGGTGTGCCATTTGTACCATATATTATAAAAATGTTTAAAATATCGAATGATTGTGTAAAGAGGCTCTTGGTTGTGAGATGTTCTTGTCTTCCCTGGAGATCATGGGAGAAGCCCAAAGATTGGAAATTGGTGCCTAAAAGACTGACTCTTTGGTTCTGGAGACTGAACCCAGGGTTTGACGAATACAAACCATTCACCCAAATGCTTTACACCCAATAAAGCATGCCGTTGCCTTCTCTTTTTACTTGGGGAGCCTGAGGTACAGAGGTTTAATAATTTGCCTGTGGTTTTCAGAGTCAGGATTAGAATCCATGCCTGCCATACTTCAAGGCCTGTGTTCCCCTTACTCCAAGTGAATGTGCCATTTATTTTTTAGACCTATAAGTCATCTTTTCATTTTTTCCAGGTCAGGGGATGAGATAAGCTAAGAAATAGTGAAAGTAGTATTAAAACTGGTCTGGGTCTGTTGTACAAGCCCCTCTTCCACCTTGTTTTTCTTTTTTTTACTGCTTAAGATTGAACCCAGGGCCTTTTGCATGCTAAGCATGTGGTCTGCCCATAAACCACACCCCACTCCTCCAGTTGGCCAGGCTGGCCTTGAACTTGCAACAATGCATCACACCAGTTCCCCAAGTACCTGGGAATATAGGCATGCACCTCCACACCTGGGTCCAAAGTCTTAATCACTTTTTTCTGCTTCCATGGAAGGACCATTTTTATGGTTGGGTAGAATGGCGCTGGAAATCACATCCTCAATTCAGTCATATAACATGAATGGGGACAATCCTGAGATAGAATTTATAGAAATTAACCTATCTCTTCACCCTCCAACCCTAGTCTAAACTTTTTTTTTTTGTACCGGGGATCTGAACTCAGGACCTTGCGCTTTCGAGGCAGACGGTAGCACCGCTGAGCTAAATCTCCGGCCCCTTAGTCTAAACTTAAAAAAAAGTCTTTTTAAAAATTCTAATATGGGCTGGGGATTTAGCTCAATCGTTTCGCCGCTTGCTGTGCAAGCGCAAGGACCCGAGTTCGATCCCCAGTACCAAAAAAAAAATATTCTAATATGAAGAAAATAAAACTGTAACACCACCACTAAAAATATAATAGCCACTCTTTTTTTTTTTTGCTCTACTGGGGATCGAACTCAGGACCTTGTGCTTGCCAGGCAGGCGCAGCGCCACTGAGCTAAATCCCAGGCCCAAATAACCACTCTTTAGGTTAGAATACCGATTAAGAACTGGGTGGAGTGGTACACACCTGTAATCCCAGCATTCTGGGAGGCTGAGACAAAAGGATTGCAAATTCAAGTCCTGCCTAGGAAATTTAGACCCTGTCTCAAAAAAAATAAAAAGGATTTGGGATGTAACTCAGAGCAAAGGCCCTGGGTTCAATCCCCAGTAGCACAAAAACAAAACTCTGATTTTATTTGTATAGCTGAAACACACACAATGCTGTATAAAATTCAGAAAATCCCAAAGGATGGTACTATGTAAGAGACTCTCCCCTGACCTCAGTTACCTTATTTCCTTCTCAGAAGCAATTGCTGTTATACTGTTTACATTTTCATGTATTTTCCTATAGCTTCCCTTCTCCCCAGGTTTTTATTATGAAAATTTGCAAACATCCATGTGTATTTTGCTTAATCATTTGAAAATAAATTGCAGACTTACTGACATTTCACCCCTAAATACTTTTATTTTTTGAACCAGAGCCCAGTCAAAGTTCATGCACTGTATTTGTTTATACAGTAAGTCTCCGACTTACTAACATTCCCGTTGTGAACTTTCACAGGTATACTCTATAAGATTCACAGGTGTACTGTATAAGACGCACTTTGTTGGATTACCAACGAATCCAATTTATGAACGTTCTTCCAGAACGGAACTCGTTCATAAGTAGGGGACTTATTGTATCTTGGTAATTTCCTGTGTTCTATAATGGTTCTCCCATTTCCTGTTAGACATTGACCTTTTTATGGGGGTGGGGGGGTGCTAGGGATAGAACCCAGGGCCTTGAGCATACTAGGCAAGTGCTATCCCACTGAGCTACACCCCAGCTTAGACACGGACTTTATTTTTTTTTCAGACATTGACTTTTTTGAAAGACCACGATAGTTGTCTTGTGGACTATCACCTTCTGTTTTTGTCCTAAAGTTTCCTCATAGTATCAACTACCAGGTTTCTCTATCTGCTGTATTTCCTAGAAACTAGAATGTAGGTTTAAAGGCTTGTTTAGATTCAGGTTAAGTATTTTTGGGAAGACACTTTGTAGCTGATGCTGGGTGCTTCATAGGGTTGTGTGGTGGGTTTGGTTTTTGTTGTTGTTTTGAGACAGGTTCTCACTTTATAGTTCAGGCTGGCTTTGAACTCAGTATGTAGTTCAGGCTGGCTTTGAACTCAGTATGTAGCCCAGGCTGGCCTCAAACTTGTGGCCATCCTCCTGCCTCAGCCTCTGGAGTGCTGGGATTACAGGCATGCACCACCACATTTGGCCTAGGATGCTTCATATTATATCATAACTGGAATATGCCCTTTTAAAAATTGTAAAATACATATAAAATTTGCTAAATTAACCACTTTTAAGTGTATCGGTTCACTAGTGTTAAATATATTCACATTGTTAAGCAACAGATCACAACTTTTTCATTTTGCAATACTGAAATTTAAAAAAAACTTCCCCTTTTCACTAGCCCATTTTTTGTTTTTACATTGTTGAGATCAAATTATATAGAGTTTTATATCTTTCTTGTTTTGTGTTCATGGCCTGTGTTGTTAAAGGTTGCAGGACAATCCATTGTTAAGAATATACTCTTTCCTTAGGGAGTGTTAGTTTCTGGATGCTGTAAGTAATAACAGCAAAGGGACTGTTTTTTCTAGTCTTTGACCCAGAGCTTTGCTTGGGCCCAGTTTTCATGAGGGCAGCAGAGTATTCTCCCATTTTTCTGTGCCCTGAATAGAGTGATGTCTATTCCTCTCAGTGCCTCCTTTATTTCTTTCCTTTTCCCTTTCCTTCCTGATTTTCACTCCTCTGCTTTGTCCCCTCCTCCCTTAGGTAAGTCAAATCTCATGGACGCTATCAGCTTTGTGCTAGGTGAAAAAACCAGCAACCTGCGGGTAAAGACGCTTCGGGACCTAATCCATGGAGCGCCTGTGGGCAAGCCAGCTGCTAATCGGGCCTTTGTCAGCATGGTCTACTCCGAAGAGGGTGCTGAAGACCGCACCTTTGCGCGTGTCATTGTAGGTGGGTAAAGCTGGTTAGAAAAGCTTTCCTTGGGTCCTAGGAGGTGGTTAGACTCATTACTGGGATAGGAGGAAGGCCTGATCTTCACCAACTCATGCATTTTCTTATAGGTGGTTCCTCTGAGTACAAGATCAACAACAAAGTGGTCCAGCTACATGAGTACAGTGAGGAATTAGAGAAGTTGGGCATTCTCATCAAAGCCCGTAACTTCCTTGTCTTCCAGGTGTGCATTTTCTTTTTTCTCTCTTTTTTCAGGTGTGCATTTTAAACAGTGATTGGCTATCTACTTTTTGTTAGCCCTCGTCCCATATACCCTGGGCCTGTTCCACCTCAGGCTTCATCATCTCTCCCCTAAAATAATGTAGCACCTTCCTCAGTAGGTTTCTTGATTTCAGTCTGGCCCCTTCTAGTTCATCTTCCAGCTTCATCTTGTAAGAACCCAAATCTGTTTCTCTCCCTTCTTTCTTTAAAGCATTTCAGTGATTCCTTTTTTAGTTGTTCTTATAGTCCCCAGAATGACAATATCTATACCACCTGGGACTGTGTTACAAATGCACATTCTTAGGCCCCATTCTAGTCCTATGGACTGAAGAGACTATGGGGTGAGGCACAGCTGTTTGTATTTTACCATGCTCTTCAAGTTACTATAATAAATACTGAAGTTTGAGAACCATTACCTTAGGATAAAAATCCAGACTCCTAAACCTGTCATTCAGGAAACATTGTCATTTGGTTCTTGCCTATCTTTCTAGCCTTATCTACCAATACTCTCCTTCTCATCTTACATTCCAACCTAATTAAATCATTTGCAGTTTCCTAGATTCACCTGCTATCTTTGACATGCAGGTATTTACATATTAATTTTCTTCTACATGGGATAACATTTTCTCTCTTCTTTCTTCCTCCTTTCCCTTCCCTTTCCCTTCTCTGGTTCTGGCCACTTCCACTTCTGGGGATCAAACTGAGGACCTCACATATGCTAAGCAAGCACTATATCCTCAGCCTTTTTTATTTTCTTGGCTAGTTTTTCTCCATCTTCCAAATTCATCACTTTTGGAAGTTTCCCAGATAGACATCCTTACCAGTCTCCCACCCTCCACTCCAAGCTTCATTTATTCCTTTTTCTGTGCTCCTTCCGTCACTGTACATAACACACTGTTATCTTTGTGTTTGTCTTTTCAGTTACCTCTGCTTCTCTAATCCCCATGTGAAATGTGGCACCAGTCGGGAGGCAGGGATCAGCAAACCTTTTCTAAATAATCAGTGAGTGTGGGCAGGGGGAACTGAGCTTGCTAGGGAGTTTGTTTTAATCTTTATTAGGGTGCTGTGGAATCTATTGCCATGAAGAACCCCAAAGAGAGGACAGCTCTGTTTGAAGAGATCAGTCGCTCTGGGGAGCTGGCGCAGGAATATGATAAGCGAAAGAAGGAAATGGTGAAGGCTGAAGAGGACACTCAATTTAATTATCATCGTAAGAAAAACATAGCAGCTGAACGCAAGGAGGCCAAACAAGAGAAAGAAGAGGTAGGTGGCTAGGCTACCTCTTGGCTCTGAGGGGCCGGGGTGTAGCGAGTGCCCTACCACTGTTGCCATTCCCATTTTCACAGGCAGACCGCTACCAGCGCCTGAAGGACGAGGTGGTGCGAGCTCAGGTACAGCTGCAGCTCTTTAAGCTTTACCACAATGAAGTAGAAATTGAGAAACTCAACAAGGAACTAGCCTCGAAGAACAAGGAGATTGAGAAGGACAAGAAGCGTATGGACAAGGTTGAGGATGAGCTAAAGGAGAAGAAGAAGGAGCTGGGCAAAATGATGCGGGAGCAGCAGCAGATTGAGAAGGAGATCAAGTAAGAGTCAGACCTGGGTCTGTACTTGTGAGAAACCAAGAGGCTGTGCTGTTCCCTGGGGCTCCTCTGAGCCTAGATTCCAGTGCCTGTATTAGTTTCTCTATCTTCTCCTTGACCTGATTTGGCCAGCACCAGTATAAATGGCTTGCATTTGTGACAAGTAGAATATTTAAATACTCATGCTCTGGGTAGGCAGGTACTCAAAGCAAGGAGAACTTGAAGAAGTGTCCTTGCCAAGTGAGAGAGGAATCTATGGGAGGCCCAGTCACTGGAGTGACTGAGAAGTCTGTCCTAGCGAGAAAAACTGAAATTAGATGCTTAAAGGATAGAAATTTGAAATGGTTAGAGGAGATGTGGGACAACTTAATAAACACAGGTTATTTTTGGGAGTTAGTGAGGAACCTGGTCTAGCAGGGATGGTAACTTGCCTTACCTGGTGGCTGGAATGCTAGGCTGAAGCTATAGTTTCCAGGGAGTAATTGGGTTGCTCCTTTTTTGAGGCTTTATGAGGGCATCAGGCCCATAGTCTTTTAGGAGATTCCCTAAAGTTGATTGTGGGGCTCAGGCTCTGCTTTCTTTAGATAAAACAAGTGGAACTCCTCCTTTTTTCCACAGTGCTAACTGGTTGTCCTCTTCCCCTCTGGCAAAAGGGAGAAGGACTCAGAGCTGAATCAGAAGCGGCCTCAGTACATCAAAGCCAAAGAGAATACTTCCCACAAAATCAAGAAATTGGAAGCAGCCAAGAAGTCCCTGCAGAATGCTCAGAAACACTACAAGAAACGTAAAGGTGACATGGATGAGCTGGAGAAGGAAATGCTGTCAGTGGAGAAGGCCCGGCAGGAGTTCGAGGAACGAATGGAAGAGGAGAGTCAGAGTCAGGGCAGAGACTTGACTTTGGAGGAGAATCAGGTAACCTTTGGAAGGAGTTGCTTTGGGAAGGAGATCACAGGGCTAACATGGGCTGACTCAGTCATCCCTGTCTTCCTTCCCTGTCCCTAACACAGGTGAAGAAATACCATCGGTTAAAAGAAGAAGCCAGCAAGAGAGCAGCTACTTTGGCCCAGGAGCTAGAGAAGTTCAATAGAGACCAGAAAGCTGATCAGGACCGCCTGGATCTAGAAGAGCGGAAGAAAGTAGAGACAGAGGTGGGCAAGAGTTGAGAGTAGGTCTGGGGGCCAGTGGTATAGCTCAGTGGAAGAGTGTAAATTCTGCATGTGTAAGGCTCTGGTTCAATTCCTAGCACCCAAAAAAAAAAAAATCAAGGATGATGTTTCCTAGAAAAGGAAATAATAATGTTTGTCTATGAAGCACTTAACTGTGTGCTAGGCACTATTCTTTATGTACATTCACTCATTTAATTCTTCATTTATGACTACCTTCGTGGTATGGCTGCTATTATCCCTACTTTCCAAATAAGGAAACCATAACAGAGGTGAAGTGATTTGCCTAAGGCCATACAGTTATTCAGCAGCAGAAATAGGATATGAACTTAGCTCTAAAGCTCATATTCTTACCAACTATATTTCACTTATTGCCTGATATCAATGATGATGATATAAAGTTGTTAGATTTCTTAAGATCCTACAAGATCTGGTAAGTTCTGCTTTTACATACTTAATATGTTGGTGGCATTAATAGCTACCTTTTATTTAGTACTTTATATTCTGTGAAGTGGAAATTAGTCACATTTTACAGATGAGAAAAGATTCAGAAAGGCTTGTGAAGCTGTATTTTACCTTAGTTTGAGACTGAATAGTGAGGAAGCCCAGGCTGTGTACAGTACTTATGTTCTGGAGCCCTAGGAGGCCCCTGTCAGTTAGCAGACCAAACTAGATGCTATCTGTGTGTCTGCTTTTTAGGAGGCTTCCTGTGTTAGTGACAGATTGTCCTGGACTTGAGCTCTTGGAGGACCAGGCACATAAGGAAGTGTAAGCCAGGGTCTCATGATCTTAGAGTTAACTGGATCAACCCTTGGTTATGGAATATATTTCTTACCCAGGCCAAGATCAAGCAAAAGCTGCGGGAGATTGAAGAGAATCAGAAGCGGATTGAGAAGCTGGAGGAATACATCACCACTAGCAAGTATGTGACTCTGCAGCCTTTCCCCTTCTTTCCATGCCTGTTCTTCCTCACATGTTCTGCCCCTCTTCAAGCAGGACTGCCAGAGTCTCTTAACCAGAAATACAGTATTGTCTCATAGCATATTATCTCTCACAGTAGCTCTGTGCTTCGTGTTCTCCCTTTGTAGGCAGTCCCTAGAGGAACAAAAAAAGCTAGAGGGAGAGCTGACAGAGGAGGTGGAGATGGCCAAGCGGCGGATCGATGAGATCAATAAGGAGCTGAACCAGGTGATGGAGCAGTTGGGGGATGCCCGCATTGACCGCCAGGAGAGCAGCCGCCAGCAGCGAAAGGCAGAGATAATGGAAAGCATCAAGCGTCTTTACCCTGGCTCTGTGGTAAGACTGGAGACTGGACTTTTCCTAAGTGATTTCTTACACTCATTATTATATGATTTTCACAGCACGTCCTACTTTTTATAGCTGAGGAAAGCAAGGCTCAGAGAGGTTAAATGACTTGCCCAAAGAAGCACAGCTTGAGTGGAGGAACTATAATTCAAACCCAATTTATCCTGACTCTTAAGCTTATGTTCTTTTTACCACATCAGTTATTACCTTGAAGGGTTTGTCTTGCTGTGTCCATTGGGGCAGAAGCAGGGAAGCCCTTGAAAGCGGGAGAGTAGCCATGGGGCTGGAATTACTTTCCCAGAAAGTAGCTCTGTGCAGTTTTCTATATGAGCTCCCTTGGAATGTACCAGTTAACCTGTTAGCTTTTAGGGATACCCTGTGCTTTATCAGATCTCTTGGCTTCTTTCTCCAAATTCTGAGTTCCCAAGTTTCCTGAATATTATGTCTATATTATCCTGTCCTTGGGTTCAACTTAATTTAGCTCCAAACATATTTCCTGGTCACTCCTCTAAACACTGCTGGGGAGATGAGTATGAATTAGTGTGAGTCTCTGCATCTGATGATTCTTGGGAAACCATATTTGGTTTTGGGGGATGGAAGAATAGAACTGATAGGATATTTATTTTGCTGAGTGCTTATGAGAATTTGAGATACATGTATGTAAAGTACCTGGCATAGTTCTAGGGTGGCAGTAGTCTGTGAAATAGTAAAAGTGAGATGTGCACCGATCAATTTGGATTCAGACATGACTGCCTGAAGCCTTTGCTTGGGAGCCAGAATAGGGTCTTCCTCCATAGCATGGAGGCTATCTCTATGTTCCTTGGCAAGGTAGGAAGAAACCACAATGCTTTTGCTCATATAACCAATACAGCACTTTGCTTCTGATATCAGATGTGTGGGAGGTTTTCCCCAATTACCAAGTGATTTGGTAGTAAACACCAGCTGGCTGTCCTATAACTCTGTTCAATTCTGGCACTATCTACCTGGAGGTAGCTCTAGCTACCACGGGTTAAGGGCTCAGTCCTACAAGACTGCCCCTACTTCAGAGCCAGTTGCAAGCCTTAGGTTGTAACCCGTGGTTCTGACTGAGTGTGATAAATTGATTTCCCATGATCCCCCTCCTTGGGTTTGATTAATTTGCTAGAATGGCTCGTACAACTTGGGGAATCTCCTACGTTTACCCATTTAGGATACAGATGAATAGCAGATGGGACTGATATATAGTGTGAGGTATAGAAGAAGGGGCATGGAGTTGCTATGCCTGTTCCAAATACATCACCCTTCAGGTACCTCATCTTGTTCAGCTGTCTGGAAATCTCCCAAACACAGAGCTTTTGGGTTTTTATGGAGGCCTCAATATGTAAGCATTATTGATCAAATCATTGGCCATTGTTGGTCAACTCAACCTTCAGCCCTTTCCTCCCCAGAGATTAGGGGTGGGGTAGGGTGGCACTGAAAGTCCCAACCTTCTACTCTTGCCTTGGTCTTTTCATTGACTAGCTCCCATCCTAAAGCTTAGCTACTTAGAAGTGGCCAGTGATCAGTCAACTTATTGTTACCACCTCATTTTTTGGTGATGTATGTTAGGAACTGAGAATTAAGACTAAATGTTTATTTCACAATATCAGAGTTCACCCCTGGTCTTAATACACATAACAATCATAAATCAGAATGTACTGGAACGTTATTGGAATCCCATTCAGTCATTAATTAGTAATTTAGTCAATTATATCATATGAAAATGTCTCTCTGGGTCAGGCTACTCAGGTTTATAGGCTTCAGTTCAGTCTTATTAGGTCCCAAAAGCAGGGATAGTCTTGGAAAACCTATAGCTTTACTCTTTTGGATATCTGATATAATTGAGTCAAGAAACAGTCATCTCTTGCTCTGAGCCTCTTTCAAAATGTTAATATTATTCTGGGTTTTTTTTACATTATGTGACCCATTTATTCGTTCCTTTAGCCTCCTGTTACCCAAACTTTTTCATCTTTGGAAGGAACATTGGGATTGGCCACTGTGCTAGTCTAGATTATAGGCAGCAATAGTAGTCTTGCAAATGCCTCCCCTCAGTCCATTCCCATTCATAAAGGGTAGAGTTACACAGGTGCAAAATTAGTGGGCTGGTTTGGCCATTAGGCAGTATAGTTGCATTCATTTTTCCTAATACAGATTTTAGCTTGCCTCTTTTTTCCGAGCTTAGTAATTGAGATTCCTGAGCCAGCTCCCAAAAGCCTCATGTTTCCATTTTGCCTTCTTCCTTTACTCAGTATGGCCGCCTTATTGACCTCTGCCAGCCCACACAAAAGAAGTATCAGATTGCTGTGACCAAGGTTTTGGGCAAGAACATGGATGCTATTATTGTAGACTCAGAGAAGACAGGCCGGGATTGTATTCAGTATATCAAGGAGCAACGTGGGGAGCCTGAGACCTTCTTGCCTCTTGACTACCTGGAGGTGAGGCTTGTGGGGATGGGGTTAGGGTTGATTTTGGTGGTCCCTCCCCTTAGCCTTTCATGTTCTACCACTTACTGAACTTCTTCTCACAGGTGAAACCTACAGATGAGAAACTCCGGGAGCTGAAGGGGGCCAAGCTAGTGATTGATGTGATTCGCTATGAGCCACCTCACATTAAAAAAGCTCTGCAGTATGCTTGTGGCAATGCCCTTGTCTGTGACAATGTAGAGGATGCCCGCCGTATTGCCTTTGGAGGCCATCAGCGTCACAAGGTGTGGATTCCCTTGCCCAGGTTCGAGCTAGATAGGCTCAGTACTGGAGATTCCTCTGTTCAATTTATTTCTTCTTCCTGCTGTGTATAGACAGTGGCATTAGATGGGACCCTGTTCCAGAAGTCAGGAGTCATCTCTGGTGGGGCCAGTGACTTGAAGGCCAAAGCTCGGCGCTGGGATGAAAAAGCAGTAGACAAGTTGAAAGAGAAAAAGGAGCGGTTGACAGAGGAACTAAAAGTAAGCTATAGGCAGTGCTGGTCCCTAGGAGTAAGGGGTTTTGAGCCAGCAAGGCCACCTTCTTGTCACTGAGCTCTTTTTTCTTGCTCCCTTCAGGAACAGGTGAAGGCAAAACGCAAAGAGGCCGAACTGCGTCAGGTGCAGTCTCAGGCCCATGGACTGCAGATGCGGCTCAAGTACTCACAGAGTGACCTAGAACAGACCAAGACACGGCATTTGGCACTGAATCTCCAGGTGGGGCCTGGCATTCAGCCCAGTCCTCTAAGGCCATCCTCACATTCCTAGCCTAGGTTTTTTTGTGGGTGAACACTCACATTCTTCTTCCCAGCCACTTCGGGCAAAACAAGCAGAGCCTAGAGTTCAATAGCCAGAGGTTCAGATATTAACTTAGTCATGAGTGGAACAGTAGGCAAGTTACTTAATCTCTTAGTGTCAGCTTTCTTACCTTTATACGAGTAGAATTAGCCAGACGTGGCACATGCCTATAATCCCAGCTGAGGCAAGAGGATTGCTACCAAACATAGTGAGTTCAAGTCTAGCCCAAACTACTTAGCAAGACTCTATGTCCCCCTTTCCCACCCCCAAAAATAGTGGAATTAGTATCTACTTTATAGGGTCATAGCAAAATGGAATGAATTAATATCTAAAAATGCTTAGAGTAGTAGATGCTGAGAAAATATAAAGTGCTATTCTTAGCATAATTCATTCAATTATTTTAACTTCTAAAAGTAAACTGAAAGTGAGCTTCAAGCATTTTAATCCTGTGGGTGGGAGTATTGTTCTAGATATATTAAATGTGATTTTGATTATGGGGTGCTTCCCCAGTTTATCCTGGAGGTGTTCTATAATATGTAGTGTGTGTATATATAATTTTTTTCCTAAAAAAAAAAGCCTAGATTCTAAAACATGTCTGGTCCCAGGTGTTATAGATAAGGGGATGTGGACCTGTAACTAATAATGTTTCTTTGCACTCAGCCCTGTGGATTGAAGCTGGCTAAGCAAGTCTCGTGAGGAGTCCAAAGTTCCAGTTACATGGCTCCAGTGAGAGATAATAGAAAATTGACTAGGGCAGTGGTCCCGAGTTTTGTTTTCTCAGTGTCTGGAGAGCTAGCTTTCCTTGGCCGTGGGCCCAATGTAGTCAGTGTAGCTCTCTTCCTCCATGGAGCCTTATATCTTGTCTTTTAACCCATTGCCTGTAGGAAAAATCCAAGCTGGAGAGTGAACTGGCCAACTTTGGACCTCGAATTAATGATATCAAGCGGATCATCCAGAGCCGAGAGAGGGAAATGAAGGACTTAAAGGAGAAGATGAATCAGGTTGGTGGGGGATGAGCCATGCCAGCATGTGCGTCAGGACAGGACTGAGATTAGAAGCAGTACTCTGACCAAGTGGATCTATGCCTTCCCTGGCTTTTCCCCTCAGGTGGAGGATGAGGTATTTGAAGAGTTCTGTCGGGAGATTGGTGTACGCAATATCCGAGAATTTGAGGAGGAAAAGGTGAAACGGCAGAATGAAATTGCCAAGAAGCGGTAAGTGGAAGTATTGATAAAAGACTGAGATCCATTCCCCTGAGGCTCCATCCAGTCTTACATCTTTTTTTTTTTTTTTTTGGGTACCGGAGATCGAACTCGGGACCTTGCGCTTTTGAGGGGCAGGCAGTGGAACCACTGAGCTAAATCCCCGGCCCTAGCCTTACATCTTTGAAAGTCAGATGCAGTCATAAGGCAGGAACCAGCTCTTAGAACCACAATAGTTTATTATAGGTAGGGAAATCAGGGAGGTGGTAGGCAGTATACCATAGGAGAGTGGATAAGAGTGCCCCCTTAAATTTGGTTTACCTGGATTACAATCCCAGCTCCACAACTCATTATCCTGGGCAGTGACTTGACTTCTCTAAGCCTGTTTCCATAAATTGAGAAAATAATGTTACCTATCTTATGACATTGTTGGGAGGATCAGATGAAATAATCCTTGTAAAGTATTTAGCACAATACTTAGCACCTATTAAGAGGAATAAACACACGTTATCATTATCCTGATGTGTGTGTGGAGGGGGTTCTAGTTTGAGGAGTAATGAGAACCAAACAAGCTTCCCCTTTCTTCCTTACTTTCATTCATTCAGTCAGTCTTTCTTGATTGCCCACCTTGTGCCAGGTTGTCCTGTGCTAGGTATTGGAGGGGAGCAGGGAAGATGGGAAAGATGATAGTGTTGAAAGAGATCTGCACCCCCCGACCCAGGTGTCAGTCAACAGTTTGTCCAGCCCTTCACCCAAACCGTAAATATGCATTGCTCTCTTGCCACAAGCCAGGCTCACAGGTTGTAGAATTGAATCAGAGGCTTTCTCTTTCCTTAGGGAATTTATGGAGTGCTTGGGCAAACAGGCAAATCAACAATTTCAATACAGTGTGATTGATGGTGTGACTGAGGTAGACACAAAATAACAGAACATTTTCAAGGAGCTGCAAGTCCATAAGGAAAAATAAAAACAACACCAAGAAAGAGACTTAATAGGAAAATGGGCAGAGGATATAGTTGGCATTTCATGGAAAGAGAAGCTCAAATGGCTAACAACTGTAGAAATTGATGTTCAGACTCTTAATCAGAGAAGTGAAAGTTAAAAACAATCTAGTAGTATTTAGTGAAAAGTCTACATATGTCCTCTTTAGTATGTGAAGATTACACACAGACACACACACTTTATAGATATGTATTCCAGAGAGTGAGTCTTGCCACCTAATCACCTAAAGAAACACATTTAGAGTTGTTTATCTTGGCATAGTCTATATTTGTGGAATGTTGGTGGCAATGTAAATGACCATCACTGGAGGAAAGTGTAAGTTAAATGTGATAAATACACAGACTATGGAATACTGTGGAGCATTTCAAGGCAATAGATTTATAAATAATTACATGGAGAAATTATAAACAGTATTAACTGGAAAAGTAAGAAATTTGTAACTTCATTTGTGTAAACTTAAAAACAATGACATTTTACAAAGATAAATATTTTTAAGAATGTGTGTGGGCCAAGGATTTAGCTCAGTGGTTCCATCAAGGCCCTGAGTTCAATCCCCAGTACAAAAAAAAAAAAAAAAAAAGAATGTGTGTGGGGTGTGTTTTCACATTGGGCAAGGTGATAGGATGACAATCAGGAATTGAAACAAAGGAGACCAAGGAAGGATCTTGCATAGACAGCAAAGGTAAGTGTGTTATGTGCTGTGGGGTTTGATTATCTCAACTGTGCAACTGAAGTTCTAAAAAGGAGAAACCCAAGAAAGCATAATAGAAACTAAAAACCTGCTCTGAATCATCAGGAAAGGATTTATAGAACAAGGAGTGATGAACTGGAATCCTAAAGAGTGAGTGGGATTTAGCCAGCCAAGCAGCTACAGAAGAAGGGAGGTCCAGGAAGTGAGAACAGCATGCTTGGAGGTGTGAGAGGGTATGCCTTGTTCTGGATACTAAGTAGCTTTGAATGTCTGGAGCATAAAAACAGGGTCAGGAGGAAGGCGGGGGTGGTGGAGAGGTCAGCAGGGGCCAGATCACAGAGAGCTTTGTGAGTCATACTTAGGAAATTGGACTTAAAATTGCATAGCTCAAAATTACAGTTAATTACATTCCATTTGGATTATAGTGACTACAGTAATAGCTGCTAGCATGACATCTGGCTACATCTTTCACACCATACTGTGGGTTGGAGGGGCAGTTGGAAGTTAGCCCTGCCTGGCTTGCTAATGTCTGTGTGCTGGTACCACGCTCTGAGGTTCTAAAGAGATGAGGAAATGGCAATAGGAATCCAAGTATTTTCTCCCATGTTCTTATACTACCCAAACTGCCCCTTAAGAGGTTCTAAAATCTTCAGAAAGAGGTTTGGATAATAGAGTCAAAGCATCTGGGCATAAAGATGAGTTGAATGCAGCTAGTATACCTGGAAGTGGTGATAACTAAAATTTATTGAGTAGTTTCTGTGTGCCAGGCATGCTTCTAAGGACTTTTTACATATTAACTCATAAGAAAATCTAGTAACTTTGAGGTAAGTTCTGTCATTATTTCCATAAATGAGGAATCTGGGGCATGGAGAATATAATTAATTAACTTGCTGGAGATCACATACTAGTAAGTGACAGAGTTGGAAAAACAATCCTCTTAACCCACTATAATATATTGTAATAAAGGTATAAGGGAAAAGGCCTGGGTTTTGATGTTCATATGGGGTTCTAGCCTCATATGTGCTGATTATTAGCTGTGTGGTATTGGCAAGGTCTTTCACCTGTTAGCCTGTTTCTTTTATAAATAGGATAATAAAGACTAGTTGTGGAGCTGTTGATTAGAATTTTAGAGGTAATGTCCATAAAGTACATAGAAGCTTAATAGGAGTTAACTAGCTGGTGGGTTTGGTTCAGATGGACTTTTTGGTGCCTACTATGAACTTGGGAACATTCTACAGTCTCCAGTTCTTAAAGGGGTAAATAGGGTTTGTCTTAGTCCCCCCTGCCTCATACCATGTTCTTGGTATTAGGTTGAGGAACTTAGTTTTCCAACTTTGAGAAACCATTTTAAGTGTATATGAATGAATGGATGAGCTGATAGTGAATGAAATTTAGAAGTAACTCAGAAACTCTGAACCCTGCATCTCGTTCCTCTTTTACTTCACAGTTTGGAGTTTGAGAATCAGAAGACTCGCTTGGGGATCCAGTTGGATTTTGAAAAGAACCAACTGAAGGAGGACCAGGATAAAGTACACATGTGGGAGCAGACAGTGAAAAAAGATGAAAATGAGATAGAAAAGCTCAAGAAGGTAAGGAAGGAGAAAATTGAAAGACAGAGAAATTGAAATAGATGTGACAAACAGAAGGATAATGTCCAGAATTTATAACACTCATCTAAGTCAGGAAAAACACCAAGACTAAACTAGAGGGAAAATGAGTAATTGTGGCACAAACAATCCAAGAGATGCAGATAGCCCATAAACACATGAAATAATTTAGCCTTATCAGATATCAGAAATGCAGATTAAAGCAACAATTGAGTATAATACCACATTACTCAGGATTTTTTTTTAATTACCCAAGATTTAGAAACAAAAGAACAATGCTCAGTACCAACATTGCAGTATTCTTCAGCAGTGTGGCAACCATCCATCAGCTGTCTTCAGAATGCATTTATACCCTCTAACCCAGTAATACCTGAAAAGATAACCAGAATTCTGGCAAAACTTTGTGCAAGCAGGTTGATGTTTATTACAAGCAATATTGGTGTTTCCAAATTAGAAATTACTCAGTTCCCCTTGGCAAGTGGGAATTTAGCAAATCATACTACATTCATGTATTTGTGTAATGTAGTGGTCTTCAAACCTCATTAGTACATAGACCCTTTTTTTGTTATTGTTGCACGCACCCCACCGCCCCCACACCATACCAAGGATTGAACTCAGGATCTTGTGCTTGCCAGGCAGGCACGGTGTCATTGAGTTACATCCCCAAACTGCTTTTATTTTTTTGAGGCAAGGTATTGCTATGTAATTCAGGCTGGCCTTGAACTCACCGTGGCCCAGGCTGGCCTCAAACTTGCAGCGATCCTCCTCCCTCATCCTCCTAAGTGTGTGTGTCACCATACCCAGTGGGTACACAAATAATTTTTGTGTTTGGGATTTTTCGTTTGGATTGGTTTGGTTTTTTGAGATAGAGTCTCTCTGTGTAGTTCAGGCTGGCCTTGAACTCACTTATGTAGCCCAGGATCATCTCAAATTTGCTATGATCCTCCTGCCTCAGCCTCCCAAGTGCTGGGATCACAGATATGCTCCACCATGCCTGACCACAGGCTCTTTTTAAAGCAAAACTGTTCCTTAAAATCTTCAGTCTAGGCTTAAATCTTTGGTATTACTTAAATATATTTGTAGAACACTTAACCAAAAGCCAAGACAAACATAAATTTAAGTTCTCACAAAATGAATAAAATGTTTTAAAAGTAATGTACTTTTTAATTGCTCTCAGGCACAAAGAAATCAAGGAATGTCAGTAATAATTTCAACCCCTAATCTGTTATAGCCATATCTTGAAGAACCTTGAGGAACCAGGTTAACTGGTTATTTTCATTATTTCACATCATCCACAATACAGTGATAACTCGGTGGTCAAGTTCAGTTCTTTCCAGATTCATGTTTGAACACTGAAAAATTTGAGAACTGGCCATATTTTTTCCAAAAGAAATAATGAAAAACCAAGTAATTGGTTCTGAGCCCCAAAAGTTACACTTATATAAATTCACTTTTCCAGGACTTTAACAAATTTCGCAATGATTTTTTTCTTTAACTCTATCATGGTTCTCACCATTTTCCTCTTAGCTTTATTGCTGGTATCACTTTCTTTGGAGCCATGGTTACAATATTTTACACCAAGTGTAAAAAAAAAAGACAAACATTTTAGCACACTAACACAAGCGCTATACAGTGTGTTGTCTGAGTGAGAGCGACGCTTAGACTGAAGTTATCACCCCTTTGTCCATGGTGAGATGTGACATGTGACTGACTTGGCTTGTAGAGATTTTTTCAAGTCAGATTTTCGGTTTGACTTCAAGCAAAATTACGAACACTAGGCAGATTTTTTTCAAACTTTACTGTTCAAGTAGTAGATAGTTCGAGTTTGGAGCCCTTCAACAACTGAAATAACATATTTGAGAAACAAGACATTGCATCATTTTAGGTTAAATACAAGGCTGGCAACCAAATCCAGTTTCTTAATACAGTATTTCATTAGCTCTTCTACTTTGTCATCATAACCTTTCCTGGCATTTTCCTTAGTAATCTCTTTTAGCTGATTCTGGATTTGGCCCTGCCTTTGAGATCTAACATCTTGAGCTGTTCTGTGCTTATGTTGCCCACAGTCACTTGTTTGTAGCGACTGTAAATGAATAGCATCTCATCCATTGGCATGATCTTGACATAGTTAACACTGTCGAGGAGCTTTCTCAAACTTAGCCTGAGACATACTAAGTGGGATTGCTAGGGGCTCACAGAAGAAGTGAGGAGTAGAAAGTAATGGTATAAGTAGATTGGCAAATACCTTTAGAGGCACAGCCTCAAGCATCCCAACCCCAAATTCAGACGTCATGTAAATTCAGTGCAACAGATGATGATATTTTGCTGAAATCAAGTCACTTCAGTGTGACTATGCTAGTGACTGCTACAGCTCATTTCTTTTAGTTAAGCATGCCTATGTATTATGTGATGACTCTTTCCTTAACATCTTTCATCTTTAAATTATCATCAAATTTTTGTCCCTTACAACATTCCCTCCTAACATCGTTTGACTATTATGCCTGCCTATATTGGTTGCTTGTGCTTCATTAACCCCTGATGATTATAGTAGTCGTCTTTGGTCTCACTGGAATCTTAAATGCAGTTGCAGATCAGGCAGTAAAATCCTGGGCCAGGACTAGATTTATATCTAGATGATTCAGGATAATGTATTCATGTGACCTTTTATTTTGAAATAATTTTCGACTTAGCAGAAAGTTGCAGGAATAGTAGAGTCATCCCTTGATCTATGAGGGGTTGGTTCTGGGACCCTGGCTTCAATCCCTAGTACCACCACAAAAGAAAAAAAATGTGGAAAAAATGTTCAAATATAATATTAAGTGAGAATATAGAATACAGTACAATCATAATACATAATGCAATATAGTCTCCACTAGGTAAAGCTATTTTTAAATAATGCTAGGAGGAAATATGCTAGAATGTTAATTGGCTATCTCTGGCTAGTGGAATTATGAGTGATCCCCCTCATTTTTATTATTTTTCAATACTTAGAACTCTTTTGCAGTGGGCAGTTTATATAATTGGGCTGGGGACGGGCACTAAATAATTTAGAAAAAGGTAAAAGAAGGCTGAGGGTTGATGGGAGGCTTGTAAAAGCAGAGCTTGTTGTTGAGAAGCTGCAACACACTGCCTGGTGGGAAGGATGGGGCAAGAGGAGACAATCCCAAGGTCAAATGGGAAAGCCCTCACCTCTTCCTGTTTTCCCTGCTGTGACCAGGAGGAACAAAGACACATGAAGATCATAGATGAGACCATGGCTCAGCTACAAGACCTGAAGAATCAGCACTTGGCCAAGAAGTCAGAAGTAAATGACAAGAATCATGAGATGGAGGAGATTCGTAAGAAACTGGGAGGTGCTAACAAGTGAGTGGGTTCAGGCCCAGGGTGGGAGGAAGTAGGTAGAACAGGCAGCTTGCCAGATTTGGGTCTCACTTAGCTCCCTGGACCCTTTTAGGGAAATGACTCATTTACAGAAGGAGGTGACAGCCATTGAAACCAAGCTTGAACAGAAGCGCAGTGACCGCCACAACTTGCTACAGGCATGCAAGATGCAGGATATCAAGTTGCCACTCTCAAAGGGTACCATGGATGATATTAGTCAGGAAGAGGTGAGTTATGGCTGGTAGTAGGAATGGGCTGTGGATGTTAACCAGGGTGAACGTGGCTGGGAAGGGCAGGTGAAAGAAGGACAGTGAGGGGGATAAAGAACAAAGGATGTAGGAGAGATGAGGCAAGGTGAGTTAGTTAAGGCAGGTGAGATGAAAGGTGGTTCTGGTGTGAGAGGGAAGGTGAGTTTGAGAGTTGAGCTGGAAGCCAGTGGGTGGTGTGAGAGTTGAGTCAAGAGCTGATGAATTCATTAACCTTAAGGACTTGAGCTATGTTGTGTTAGCTCCAGCAGGTGATGGATATTGTTAAGAGTGAAGTGATGGACTTTAGCCAAGCACAAAGGAAGACAGGAATCAGTGGGAACAGAGAGATGATGGCTTAGCTGCAGTGAGAGAGGTTGGCCAGAAGAGGGTTGAGTAACGGACATCAGCAGTGCAGAGGTGAGGAAGCTTAGTTACAGGAAAGGGAATGACATTAGCCAATAGAGATGTTGAGGCATTTTATCCATTGGAAGTGAAAAACAGTAGCCAGGGGGTGGAAAACATTAGCTGCAAGGGTATTTATGTATATTTTATCTTAAAAGTGTTCAGGTATCTCAGTCCTATGGTCTTCCTCCCTCTTAAAAGGAGCATTTCAGTTTAATTCAGTAAAATATTTTCAACACCAAAATTGTTCTGGGCATCGTGGTAACATGTGACATTATTACCTCTAATCCTAACCACATCCCTGTGAGGCAGGCATTGTCCCCATGTTATAGATGAAGAAACTCAGGCTGGGGACATGTATTTAGTGATAAAATGGTTACCTAAAGTACACGAGGTCCTGGGTTCCATTTCAAGCACTGAAAAAAAAAAAAAGGAGTGGGGATGACTTCACAATCCAAGAGCATGACTTGCCCAGGATTACACTGTTAGTAAATACAGCCCAATTTTAAAATGGTCTTTCTATTTTTCCGCCCTGGAAGTGCTTCCTCTAACACATGGAAGGCTACAAAGGAGCCCTAGGCTCCCCTTAGAGGGCCACTCATGGCCAGTCCGTTCCATTTGACTCTGCCTCTTGCCATTGCAGGGTAGTTCTCAGGGAGAAGATTCAGTGAGTGGTTCCCAGAGAACTTCCAATATCTATGCACGAGAGGCCCTCATCGAGATTGACTATGGTGACCTTTGTGAGGATCTCAAGGTAAAGATCAACCATGGGGCATCTTTCCAGGTATCCTTTCCAGTCAGCCTATGGAGACATGGAGATTGTGGCTGGAAAGAAAAGCTGGCAAGGGAAGGAGAACCAAGCTGTTGTGAGTCAAGGTCTCCCCCTTATATGTAAACACAGACACATGCACATATCCCACCCCACACCCCCAGATTGGCCTCAAGTATTCCTCAGGACTGTGCCAGGTACTATTCTCATTCTGGGTATCTCTCACTCATCTTGCTTTAGCTGCCATCTCTATGCTAGGTCCTACAAGTTATCTCAAACCCCAGCCTTCCAAATCTGCCCCTTCTCAGTGCCACCTATATGCTCAATCAGAAATCTTGGCCTCATGCTTGACTCCTCCCTCTTACTTTACATAATCAGTTACCAAGCCCTATCAAATCTATCTCCTAAATATCTATTGAGTTCTCCTTTCTTTGTGTTTGTACCCTCTCCTTCATCTCACATAGACTTGCAGTAGCCTCCTAGTCTCCAATACTTTCCAATTTGTACCTCATCATTATTCCAGGGGGACTTGGTTTTGTAAAAAAACAAAAAACAAAAAAAAAACTTACGGAAATTTTCAAACATTAATAGAAATGAGCCGAATGATATAATGAATGCCAGGCACCCATCACCCAACCTCAACAGTTAGTAACATATGGTCAGTCTTGGGGCTTTGTTTGTTTGTTTGTTTGTTTGTGGGGTTTTTTTGGATTTTTGAGACAAGCTGTCCCTGTGTAGTTGAGGCTGGCCTTGAACTTTCAGCTTTTCCCTATTTAATATGATGTGGGCTGTTGGTTTGTCATAAATGGCTTTTATCAGATTGAGATAAGGTTCCTCTCTACCAGTGATGGCGAACCTATGGCATGCATGCTGCTGTGGGCTATGTGTACCATTGAAAGCCCTAAAAGGTTTACCATTACTGCTCTATACCTACTTTCTTCAGGGTTTTTATCATGAATGGATGTTAGATTTTCTCAAAAGATTTTTCTGCATCTTTTGAGATGATAATATGATTTTGTCCTTCTATTTGTATGATGTGTTAAATTTCTTGATTTACATATGTTGAACCATCCTTCCATCCCTGAGATGAAGCCTACTTGGTCATGATGTATTATCTTTTTGATGATTTGTTGCATTCTGTGTGCCAGTAAGTGGTACCTCAGTTCATGAACTTAATTCGTTCCACAAATTCTGTTGAAGATGGCCACATTCATGTTCATGCAGGGAAGATGGTCGTGGTCATATTTATCACCCCATGTGGAGTTTGCAAAGGAAAGTAAAATTTTGCAAAATTGCTAATGAACAGAAACATTTGTGAACCAAGGCATTACTGTATCTTGCTGAGGATTTTTGCATTGATGTTCATTAAGGAGAGTGTCCTGTAGTTCGCTTTTTCGGTTGGGTCCTTGTCTGATTTTGAAATCAGTAATGCTAGCTTCCAGGAATGACTTTGGGAGTACTTCTCTTTTGATTTCATTACTTTTTGAGGAGTATTGGTGTTAGATCTTCCCTGAAATTCTTGTGGAATTCAGCAGTGAATTCATCAGGTCCTGGGGTTTTCTGAGTTGGTAGATTTTTTTTTTTTTAATTACTGCTTCAGTTTCATTGCCTGTTACTGGATTATTCAGGCCTTTTATAATTTTCATGGTTCTGTTTTGGTAAGTCATATTTATCTAGAGATCTATTTCTTCTGGATTCTCCAATTTATGGGAGTAAAAGTTTGGAAAGTAGTTACTAATAATCTTTTGGATTTCAGTGGTGTCTGTTGTGATTTCATCTTTTTCATTCCTAATTGGATTGATTTGGGTCTTTTCCTTTTGCTAAGATTGGCTAAGGATTTGTCTATTTTGTTTATATTTTTTTAAGCGCCAGCTCTTCAATTCATTGATTCTTTGTATTTTTTTTTAGTCTCAAGTTTGTTAATTTCATTAATTTCTGCTCTGATCTTTATAATTTCCTTCCTTGTACTAGCCCTGGATTTGAATTGTCCTTGTTTTTTCTAAGATCATTAGGTTATTTATTTGGGCTTGCTCTGTTTTTCTGATGTGGGCAATCACAGCTATAAACTTCCCTCAGAGGACTACTTTCATCGTGTCCCATAAGTTGTCATGTGTTGTACTGGCATTGTCTTTGGATTCTAGGAACTGTCTAATTTCTTCCTTGATTTCTTCTGTGACCCATGATTATTTGAGAGTATACTGTTTATTTTCTATGTGTTTGAATAATTTCTGTGGTTTCTTTTGCCTGATTTTTCATTTCATTGCCCTAGGTCTGATAATATGCATGTTATAGATAATTTGGGTTCTTCTGCATTTACATGACTAGTTTTTCATGCTCTACAGGCTAGTATGTGATCTGTTTTGGAGAAAAGCCCATGTGCTGCTGAGAAGAATGTGTATTCTGTTGTTGGGTGGAACACTGTCGATATTAAGTCTGTTGGTTTGAAGGTTTGGTTCAGCTCTGATATTTCTTTGTTGATTTTTGCCTAGTTGACATGTCTATTTGTGACTGTGGGGTATTGGAGCCCCTCACTGTAATTATGCTGATCTTTATCTTTTATGTCCAGTAGTGTTTGTTTTATGAAGTTGAGTCACCAGCGTTCTGTGCATTTGTTAATAATTGTTATTTCTTTCTGTTCAGTTCTCTCCTTAACCAATATGTAGGGCCTTCTTTGCCTCTTCTGATCAGTTTTGGCTTGAAGTTCACTTTGTCTGGAAATAGGATAGCTACTCCTGCTTGTTTTCTGGTTCTCATTGTATGGAATAGTGTTTTCCATCCTTTGATTTGTAGTCTGTGTGTCTTTTGAGGTCAAATGTGTTTCTTGTATGCAACATCCCTTTGAGTTTTGTTTCTTGTTGCATTTTACTAATCTGTGTCTTTTGCTTGGGAAATTGAGACCATTCACATTGCAAGTTGTTGTTGTTTTTTGGTATGGGGGATCGAACTCGGATCTTTGCGTTTGCGCAGCAGGCGGCGAAACCACTGAGCTAAATCCCTGGCCCATCACATTGCAAGTTATTTCTGAAAGGTATTGACTTATTCCTGTCATTGCTTTCTTTTCATATTTCCTTTCATTATTCCCCCTTTTTTCCCTTCTACTTAATTGCTTACCCTTCCTGGTATATTCATTCTATTAGACTTTTTGGCATTGTTGGTGTTATTGCCTCTTTCTAGGATATCCTGGGGAAGCTTTTGGAGTGCTGATTTGGTAGTCATGAATTTCCCAAGGTTCTCTTTGTCATGAAAAGACCTTATTTCTCCATCAATTTTGAAAGAGTTTTGTAGGATATGTCAATCTGGGTTGTACAATATTTTCTTTTCGGGCTTGAAACATTTCTTCCGGCCTTTAAGTGTTGTATTTAAAAGTCTGCTGTAATTCTAATGGATTTACCTTTATAAGTGATTTGTTGCTTTGCTTCAATAGCTTTTAAGATTCTGTCCCTATGTTGTACTTCCACAATTTTGACTGTGATATGCTGTGGAGAAATTCTTTTCTGATCATGGCTCTTTTGGGTTCTATATGCCTCATATATCTGCTTCTTTTCCCACGCTTAGAAAGTTTTCTGATGTTAGTTCTGTAAACAGGTTATTTTTAATGCTATTGGTTTTATCTTCTCATTTTTCACTAATTCCATTTAATCTTTGGTTAGTCTTCTTTGTGTTATTTAGCAGCTATTGGATCCATTTATCATGTTCTCTTGTTGTTTTTAAAGTATGAATAATTGGTGACTAATGTCAGCATTGTCTTCTAGTTCTGACACTCTGTCCTCACATTGGTCACTTCTGCTGTCCATACTTTCAATAGGATTTTTAATCTCCTAGATTTCTGTTTGATACCTTTTTGTAGACTCTTAATTCTTGGGTAAACTTGTCATTCATGTTTTGTATCATCTTGATTAGCTCAGCTAGCTTTTCATTAGTATCTTCTGTAAACTTGCTGATCATTTTGTTTGTTATATCCATATCCATTTAGTTGTATCTTTGAGCTTGTGAAGCACCTTATTGATCTATTTTTTTCTCTCGCTCTCATCATTTTGAATAATTTCACTGTTTGGCTTTTTATTTCCTCCCCACTGATGCCCCATGGATCAACTTTGGGGGGGTTGGGAGTTTTTGGAGTCATTTTGTTGCCCTGTTTTCCCTCTACCCCCCCCCCCTTCCCTGTGCTGAGGTTTGCAGGTCAATTATAGTGGAAAGACTTTGTTGCTATTATGGAGGGAGATCTCTTTGGTTAGCATCTGCTTTTAAGTGATATATTATGGTGGCAGTGCATGCCTATAATCCAAGCACTCAGGAGGCTGAGGCAGGAGGATTGTTGCAAGTTCGAGGCCAGCCTGGACTACATAGTGAGTTCAAGGCCAATCTGAACTACATAACAAGACCCTGTCTCAAAAAACGAGACCCTGTCTCAAAAAAAAAGTACTCTGGGCGTGGCTAACTATAGGCCTTTGCCTCTGTTCCAAGATCCAACTGGCCCTGTTAATTTGCAGGAGGAGGATACAGTGTAATTGGCCCAGCATCCAGTTCTCTTATAATAGACTGCAGTATTGTTAATGCCACAAAGGCATACAGAAAACTAGTTAATAGCTACAGCTGTGCCGCTCTGGCAATAGCAAGAAAATTAGCTGCAATAATAGTATCAGAAACAAATTGGATATTGCCATACCATAAGAACCAATAATGTATCGCCCTTAACCATAGAAATATGATCTATAACTATAGTATAAGCACTAACAAAGCAAATATTGGGCATACAGTAAATACCTGCTAAATACAACCAATATACCGCTACGAACAATAGAATTTAACAGTAATAGCATAGAGTTAACTGGAAAATTTTAAAAATTAAGCAGTGGAAGATGGAAAGGAGGAGAGTGAGAGAATGGATTCTGTTAAGTAAAGGAAATTAACAGAATTAAATAAAAGTAATAGGAAAGAACAAGAAAAATAAGAAAAAGAAAAAATTAAAAGAAGGGGAAAAAAAA